ACATTCAATTGTGTAACAATCAAAGAAGATTAATTAAAGGAATCTTGTTTACTCTGGTTAGAAGTAGATTGGCAGGTAATTAACCTGATTCCAGGGTCATTAAGCTGACTTAGACTTAATCAAATTTTCAGTCCCCTGTAAGATATTTATTAATAGTCAATAAAATCTCTACATTTGCAGATAACAGCACTTTGGAGGTGCAGTATACACTTAATATTTTCTTTTTGGACGATTTAACTTCTACAACGAATCAGTACAAGATGAAGTTTTGGACTTAGACTTAAGATGTTTCATGATCCCGGGCCTGATCTCACAGTGTTTTCTGCTTAACAGAAACTAATTTATGTTTACCGTATAGATGTTAATGTAAAAGATAACGATTCTCTGTAATTTGTCACCAGTATTCATAAAATAAGATAAAAATTCAGATTGAATTTCAAAAAATAAAAGATCATAGCTTTCTACTAATGTTAATTTTTCAAGCAATATTGTCTGAGTTTTCTGTACAAATACATTTATGTTTTGCATATAAATATGAACAATATTGATGCTTCATCTCCAATACAACGTGAGGACATTGCGCATGTTTTCTGATAACAGCTAATAAAGATGTGCGTATGTATCACGCTAGGATCAATTTCTAAACAAGCATGTCATAATTGTTATTTTGTGTTACTTAGGCTTTATTACGCCCGTCTTTTCACACATTCTTAGGTTCATTTTTTCTATTTTAGTTATAAATATAGATATGTCTTTGACATGTGAACGACGCCGCCATGTATGCAACATCTTGCTGGAAAATTTACATAAATCCACGTTTTTCTTTCGAGAATAAACCAAAAAAAATCTCAGCTCATATTGTATCCAGATATATACACTAGCTGTATGGAAACCGAATAACTCCTAACAACAAAACCTTTTTACTTCAGGATTATTTGCCAAGTCAAATCAGGTTTAACTAAATCAGGAGTACACTGAGATGATCAAAACATACTGTAATGGATGACCTTGGGTGAGCCTCTACCCTCTCCCCGAATTTATTGGTGGGGTACAAAGGTTTTGGTTGTAAAATTTTAATTTCTATATCATCGATGTGCAGACAGTATCTCTTTTTTAAAAACAGAAATCGGTGCATCTTAGAGAAGGATGAGTAACATTTAGCGTGCTTCTTTTGTCAGCGTCTGGCTAAATCGAAGACATTCTCTATAATTGCTCTAAAATAAGAATGAGATATAAAATATTGTAACTTTATGATTGATTTCATATTGTATTTACCCTAATAAATGACAACCTCTCTTATTTATGGAGACCTTCTACGAACACTATCAATTAAATTATTGTTTTGACCGCTAAAAAAAAAAATCAATTACAGTACGCCCAAGACCCCCAAAGTCATGGTTGACGTCAAGTGTGCGGCATTTAGCCGTCCGTTGTTCCTTTATTATATGCTAAATGTTTTGTGACGAATACGTTTCGCTTATAAATATAAAATCCTTTTAGCAAACCCGATTTAGAAAATATGAACTAAAAATACTTCATCTCAATAAACTTATTCCATGCAAAGCAATGCAAGATATGAAAATTCATTTGATTAAATATTTGGATGATTAATCGTCGTTTATGTTTTCTTTCTTATTCATCATTATATTTTTTTTTCGTCGAAGACTTTTGGTCGCCCGCGTGGCGCAGTGGTTAGAGCGTCTGCTCTAGTAGACGTTACGCGCGATGTTGGTGCCATTTCACAATTTTTGTACCAAAATTATTAAACACATCAGTGATTTCAAAACGATACTCGCAATATGAAAGATTTTGGTATGAATCAATAGATTTTGAATAGAATTACCTGATTCCCGTCAAAAAATATCATTTAAAGAATTCATGCATAATATAGAATTTTACAGCGTAAATCATAGATATTTTAAGCTTGTAATGCGTTACATTTTTAAGCAGGGATCGCGCATTCCTCTTGGGTAGAGTGTTAAAAAAGCCTACAGTTCCTTTTTTTCTCATAAAACAAAAACAATCCATGCCGTCTGTGATGTGGTTAACGATTTTGCGTTCAATGCTGGCAAGAAAGCGATAGTTTCTATATACGGAAAAAGAATCCGTAACGCAAATAATTAAAAATGTGCATCTGAATATAAAAATTAAATATACTCAATTAAAAGAAACTTTAAATAAAAACAAATTATATGAAAATAATGTGCTTTTCTTATAGATTTGAAATATTTCATTAAGGTTGATTTCAAACTGCAAGTTTTGTAGCGAATACGTGGATTACAAGTTCAACAAAAATGTCCAGAGTCTAAAATAACGTGCAAAAATAAGATCCAGCCGTTTTTCGAGGGGTAAAATACTAAAAAAAAATTCATCGATTACCAAATTCATTGTACGATCATAATGTGCTAATCCAAACGGTCAGAATGAATGTCAGAGATTGATAAATTTACTCAAGTAGATAGAGTTGCGGAATAAGGAGTTCTTCCTTACGTCGCGGGTGCGAATCCCACTGCGGGACGTGGAGACCGGTCCTTCGGATGAGACTGTATAAACCGAGGTCCCGTGTGGCAGGAGGTACGTGCTGGTACGAAAAAGATCCCTCACTGCTCAATGACCCCAAGTGCTGAGTATAGGTCAAAATTTGTAGCCCTCCACCGGTAAGTGGTGGCGTCTCCATATGAGTGAAAAATTCTCGAGAGGGACGTTAAAACAACATACTTGTACAATAATAGAGGACTTTTGAAGTACTTTCAATCTTAACAATTTAACCTTTTATTTTATTCTTCAAACAAGATTAGTACATTTTACATCGAACTCCGTCATGGTAACTCAGGCATATATATATATACATGTAGGTGCCAGGTGAAGATTAGGAAGGTCTGCTGTTTAATTTACATTATAAAAAGTCAACAGCAAGAATTATCTCACTGGAACAATTTTTAAAATCTGTCAGTCATCAAATAGAGAGAGTCAGATAAAAAAAACAGGGAAATAAAATTCTTTTTGAGATCGAAATTTATATAAGTGCATGTAAAGTCTTGCAGACGTCTTTGTTCTTTTGTCAAGGTCTTCAAATTGTTGCGATATTGCACCGAGTGACTTTATAGGACTTTAGGAGTATTAGACAAAAAGCAGGGAAACGGGCGTTTTTAACATATCAAAGAAACCAGCGATGAAGTCTAATGTTTGTGTTAATGCTGACTCACAATGGATGTAGTTGATTTTCTGAACCAGGCACAGGCAGAACAACAGAAGTCTAGAGTCACTGGTGCATATCCTCGTTCAAGCTGTGATGTATTGGATTGCAAGGCATACCGTCAGACAAAACGCTCAACAACTTTTGATAAACACTTTCTTAACCTAATCTTTCTTCACAATAACATCAAAGACACCACGTATTTCAAAGAGTTAATGGAGGTACAAACCTTGATAAAGAAGCGGATATAGCTATAATCTGCTGGGTGAGGTCTGGGGGTCACTAATGACCCTGTATAGGTACGGTACACTGCAGGTGAGCGCTGTTTGTACTACCTTACATATGTACCTGTATGGACAGATTACTCTCCTTATCTCTAATAGGTCGTGACCTTCATTGTTCCTCACAAGGAGCGATGCTAAAATTGTATTTTTAAAACCCGAAAGTGTAAAGTCCTCTATTATCTTAACAGAACAAATAAATGTGTGCTTGTTTTTTTATTACATGTAAATTACGATACAATATACCTAAAAACAGTAGCGAAATACTTAAGATGCATTCATATAATAATTATAGTAACAAAAACAAATTGCATTACTGGTTTATTAAATTTGAGTATAACGGAAGTTTTCATTTCAATTTTCAAAAAAAAAAAAATAATAATAAAAGATGTTGACAGGAAAAATGCACAATGAAAACTCAATGATCATAAATTAACCTAGTATATTATTGTGTATACATCGATTCTTCATTCTGAAGAAGCATGACACATTTCTCATCTCTACCGACATAATTCCATGGCAGGTGCTTCGGTGGGGGTAACTCTTTGCTTACAAGTTTGTAAGCGATGATGATTCAAGTGCATTACAGACACTGACTCAGTAGTGACCGACCATTGATGAATCATAAACAACTTAGCGCTTGTGACTACCTACTGTACATAATACAGTGACGAGTCAGAATTATCGGTTCTTTGTGCCAATACACAACACGTTGAAGGTTTAAAGTCCCCAAAGCTTTGACTATGGGCAATGAGCATCAATTTGAACGACAGGGGGTATTAAACATGTACTCAGGCACAGTCCAGGGGACTCTTTGAGTTCTTAGACAAGTCTTGAAAAAAATACACATTTATAATTACACCTCTTTAGCTTAAAAAATATAAAGTATCCCAAGGCAGTGACTTATTAAAACACCCAGCTCGCACTGAGCAATTGCAGCTTAAGGGTGTGTTTTTTTCATCCCATATAGAATTTGTGAAACCATCTTTCTTTTCTGTGTCTGTCATATTTTTATTTAATTTAGATATCGTAATGATGACATTTGCAAATTGTAATTTAAAAGAATCGTCCATGTATTACATTATGTCGCAGAAGTCCAAAAAAAATTTTTAAAAGACACGTAATACATGGGAATACCCTGGTAAAGGTACGGACTTCAGTACAAGTTGATTAAGGTCGAAACACGTTGGCACTACGTTGGATCAATATACGTGTCCAAAGTGCTTGCATGTTGTAAACACGTTCTGAAGGTTGAGAGATTTTACTTTTTGCGCGTACATTTCGATCAGTATATGCACCTAGCAGCCAAGATACGCCCTTGCAATTTTTAATATAACATAATTTCACTTAATATTGCATATTTTCATTTATTTTATTACTTTTAAGTCATACACAACAAGTAACAATCAAGTGATAAATTCGAAGCGATGTGTTTCTAAGGACACCATCTGCCATATTGAATTATTTTCAGCCAATGAGCGCCCGCTAAAACAGTTCAACTCCACCTTCCTTGTTTCCTGGTATTAAACCTTTGTGTATTCACGTTTATGATTACACAAAAGAATACTTCTGGAAGTGCAGACGTACATTATACGATTGCATTTTTACTTATCTATTAAGGAATTATTTTTACTATGACTTTTCCTGACAACTGCGAATCCGTGATGCAAAACGAAAAAAGGTAAGTCTTTAAATATACTTCATTTTCCCAAGTGTTAATGTCATTAAAAGTTACAAAAGATTAAGATTTTTTTAGTACTGTGAACTTATACTTGTTTTGGATTTGTACTGTGAAATATTGGGCTACTCGGTGGTCAGTCTAAATGATTTCATCATACATTTATACATGCGCACATCTTTATTGACCTTGTTTATTGTTTACTGTAAATGAATCACGAGTTGCTTTAAATACCAGAATGTAATGTTTTGCTGGAAACCTCTCCAAAAATGAGCCTCGCTGTTGAACTTTTGCCCAATTACACCTTAGGTATTGAAATTGACCTAGATCCTATAGTAAAATATAACAAGGATTTGGAAATATTTTTACTTAAATTACTTTAATCATTTTCTTCTGTCCTCTTGTAGGAATGCAAACACGGGACGGATGCTGAAAGAGGTACTTATCCAGGCCCAGATAGATGGTCGGACAACATTTGGCATCTATGAATGTGCTCAGCTTCTGAACACGTTAGTATTGCATCTTAATGATCTAGGTTCATATTCAAGTTCTAAAATGCATGGAAGGTTCTTTAATGTCTTCTATTGATTTTGTTTTTGCAGAAATCCGGATGACGTAACACTCTGCATCCTTCCCACTGGATTTAACAATGACGTCACGGTGCATATTCATCACACTTTAATGGAAGCTTTCTGTTTGGAAAACGATATAAAACTGTTAAAGGTAGGTTTTTACTTCTTTTTTGTCAAGCACTTGAATATTTTCTGCAACACCCATTGACTACTGATTTGCATAAAATGCATGCATTGCTATATATGTATGTTGATCAATTGATTTCTGGGAAATTTATCAGCGTTGAACGGGAAACTTGGATGGGTTACCCAATTCGTACTTGCTTCCTTTTCATTGATAAATTTACGTCATGTCCTACTTACGAAAACCCAACACAACTTCCTCTAATCGTGACCTTTTATTTTGACAGGTTGACAGTTTAGGGAAACTGGAAAGCATCTTTTCCGGAAAAGAGAGCTCCAATACGGATGTTATTGACTGCAGCTGTGTTTTAGTCACTGCTCCTGAAAAGACTGACCACGTTTACAATGACCTTATGGATGTTGCTGATGGACCAGTAGTAGAAATGCCTGTCTGATCACATTGACCACTTTCATCATATATTTTCACCAGGTACAATAAATTTCGATATATATAGTTTTACGCACCTAAAAATTACCATAAGAGTTGATAAGCATGGATGATGTACCATTAAAACATTGCATTCACCAATATTTGTCATTTTTTAGAAAAAGCCCCTTTTCTGGTCTACTCAAGGAAATATCAATATCTGGTTGGATGTAAAGAATCCTATCCGGAGGTGATCAACAGCACGTACGATGGCTAGATATCCACACTAATAGGAAAAAGATCCTCACAAAAGATCCCGGAGATGGTGATTAAATCCACCGAGAACATTACCTAAGAATTCCAACCAAAATACAGCCCCACAAAGGTGGAAGTCTAAAACTGTTACAACCAGAATACAGTCCCATCGGTCAAAGTCTAAAAATTGTTACAACCAGAATGCAGCCCCATGGCCAAAGTCTAAAACCTGTTACAACCAGAATACAGGCCCATAGAGGCCAAAATCTAAAAAATGAACTTTGTTGATTTCCTACAAGTTATCTATTGTTAAATGTGATATGTTTATTGTGTTAAATCTAAATAAATATTTAAGAAAAACAATACAATTTATCTTGTTTATTATGGCTGAATAACAAGCTAAGTGAAAAAAAAACCGGAACTTGTTCACCGAGTAGAGCAGGGAAAGGGTTTTCATGCAGAATTAATACAAGTTATGTTCAAGGTCATTTACTTGTTTTCTGGAAAATAAAAAATGTACATAACACTTGTGTAGGAATAGAACTATTTATAGAAGTTTTCAACCATGGATTTAGCTGAACTACGGGGTCCTTTTTCCTTTCCTAGCACGCCTACACTCTAATTCCTAGAACAAGTGGTCTGATTCTATGTCTTAGAGTATGCCTTATATGGGCAAATCTTTTTAAGATGATTCTAGATACTTAATCATTGGTTGGGTAAAAACCAACTAGGTATTGCATGTTTACCTATCGTTAATTAATTTAAACAATTAACAACATTTTTCACTGTAAGGAAGGCTGAGAATTGGTTTACGGCAGATAATCAGGACTGTTAAGTTACAGTTTTGTGTTTAAGACTTTCAACCTGGTCAAGGACAAAATACCAGTTATTTTCTGTTAAAACCGAGTTTACCTTGTTATTTAAAATACTTCTTATCTAGACTATTCATTTTATTTCTCATCATTATACAAATCAATTTTTAGTGATGGTTTAATATATAACATATCACTGATATGTGTTGTAAATTATCGATTGGATTTTGTTTGGGGGGTCAATGTCCGTGTGGTTCTGTAACTGTCTAAAATCGAACAATCGTCTCTGTGGGTCAGTGTGTTAATGATGTATCAGCGTAGGTTATCGATTTGAACACAATATCTGCTTTGAATGACACTTAAATTTAATAGCAAAGAGCAACACACTTCATTGACCAAGGGGTGAATGATCGAAGAATTTTTTTTACGACTAGAAGAGAGTACCAGATCCAAAGATTCAGTTTGAAAATTAATTAAGAAATAATTACAGTGGTATGTATGGTGAGATGCATTGATGTCAGTTTCGTGCTTTATGTCTGCATAGTCAGTATGGTTGACTCTACCTGAATGTTAGATATTGTTATATTTCTCTTAGAGAATATTAAAAAAATATTGCCATTTGGAATAAAATCAAACAAATAGAGGTTTGTAGTTCCCTTTTTAATGTGCCATAGACAAAGTGCCATAGACAAAGTAAACTCCAAACCTAGAAAGTGGCGGATGTTTTTGACATCCAGGTGAGGAGAAATCTCTGGTCATCAGACCAGGACGTTTTACGCAGGTGACAGTCACGATCATTATAACGCCTTGCTGTTGTCAAACGGGGTCTTTATATATAAATCTATATTTAGTATCACGAATCATATGGGGAGACACGTTAAATGAGTCAGCATACTGGGTGAATTCTATGTTTAGATATTTACGCCCATGGTTATGTGTTGAAATATTAAAATAATCTTTTCAAAACGTGTGATTTTTTTTTATATCTCCATTACAAAGGTTAAATGCAGGGTGTGATTATCTCTACACAGAAATGTGGGTTGAAATGCGGATCCAAATGCTAGGTACTTACAATCAATAGGATGTTTGAGCACAGGTTTTTTTTTTCTTGCACCTTTCAGTCTTTTCAAATGTAAGCACTTATTTCCTTTCAAAAAGCATTGAAAAATCTAGAGAATTCTGAATCCATCAAGTTAGAGACCAAATGTAATCAGATTAAAGGAAGCACACCTGTTGACACGTTTTCCAGAAGACGGGATATATCAAAGACAATTAATGGCAAATAACAGGAAGAGTTTAGATTTGTATTGTTTGTTTGGTGGATATGTGACACACGAAACTTGAAATTGATATCCGTGCATTGGGCTTTTCTACAGTGACCACTCTTTCACAACGTCATTGCGACGTCACCAGTTTTCGGACGATTTAATAATAATAAAAAATCTGTCTTCGTGTACAGCATTTTGGAGGGCTAAATAAGCAACATATCCACAACCACTGGAATGTCAATTAAATCCGAAACTTTTCAAGTTACCCGGCATAAGGTAACGCGAACAGGCGTTTGATACACCTAATTTAAATAGGATAAAATTTAACAATGGTGTCTTGATTTTTGCGAGTTCTTTATTGATTCTAAACGTCGTGTTCTCAGTCTGGCAGGTGGGAAATGACACATGGCGCGTGCCTTTTGTCATATTAAGCACTTATATACATTTATCTACACAGTCACCGCCAACAAAGAGGGCCAGAGAGAATTTCTACCCGTGGCAGATGGCGCCCTCACGACACGCAGTGTATCCGAGACGCCAGCTGGCAAATTTTCGGTGGTCATACAATCATAGTGTTACTAGGGCTTTGGACCCAAAATACCTTTAACGACAACTGGTTTTACACGATATTTCCAAATAATTTCCTCCGAAAAATAGCTGCTGTGAACAATAAACTGACGGCACGTAAATAAAATAACAGGTACAGGTGCAAAGTACAGCCGAGTAACGTTAAGGAACAAAGCTTTCAATTTATCCTACAGATTTGATATAGACAGGTAAGGATACGGAGGTCACGGGGAGAACAAAAGAAAGAAATATCATTTCCAGACGCCACAACATCCGTATTCTTCAAAACTTGTATGCTGGTATCGGGATGATTAAAGACACTATTACAGTATTACTAGATTTTAAAGAATTCATTTCTTACCAAGCGTTTAAAAAATCTTTTTTTTTTTTTTACATTTGATTACAAAGGGCAGGGGTATATATTTTTCAATACGTAGTAAATTTATGGTGGAGTAGTGTTTGTAAACTCCGCATGCATGGCTAACAGTGTTTTCGTATACTTTTGTAATGAAGTGCTGAAAAATAATGTCCTTTATCATTATCAATTTATAATATGACTTAATTGATTTTAATGATAAAGTCCTGCTATGTAACAATTAATTTATTTTGCGCCCATTTGATTTACGGTGCTTTGGTAATATATTACAGGTTAATTAACGCTGGCGTAGAGGCGTAGAACAGAAAAAATTAACACAAAGGTGTTAAATTGTTTTTTCATGAGGATATATTTTTTTTACACGTGTCTATTTTTGGAAGTATTAAAAATAGAAATAACTAGTGTCGCTGCTCCGCCAAGTCAACCAAATAAACATGTTCTTCAAGGGGACCTGCAGGAAATCGATGATTAACATTCAAATGTTAACGAACTTCTAAAACATGCGTTCCCCTGTTTGCCGTAGACTTTCATATGAAAAACAAATCGCGACAAAAACACCATTGAGGAGGTATTTGCAAGAAAAACAAAAACGAGTTGCTTTGAAAAAAGTTATACCAAAAGATAAACCTTTTGAAGATCAAATGATCCATGATTTGCATGATTAAGCCCTTTTTTAAAACTTGCATTAAATAACTCCAGTAGCTAAGGTGGTAGGAACTTAAAAAGCTTTTTTTCCCTTTGGATTTCTATTGTCATATTCATCACCGACTCTATTACAGAAACAACCACAGATAACCAGAATAGTTTAATTAGTCTTATTCACGAAGATAAAACAGCGTATGCATGTAATATACCAACATCTGCCAGACGTAACGTAGACAACATGCTATAAAATCCTATAACTTCAAAGGCTTCAGCACATCAAAGATGCACGTCAAAGAAAATTTCAAAATTTCATTTGAAAAAAATATATATATGTCATTATGTTTTTTTAAAATATTTTTAGTTAAATCATGCTATATGGTCCAAAGAAGTTGCATTATAATAACAAGGCTTTTAGGAGAAACAACATTAAATTCCGCATCATACAACAATTATTCAGTCAACACAAGTATGTAACTTGCATACAAATTTATCAGTCATCAAAATAAAACACACTATCTCAAAACGCCTCCAACATCGTTCGGGTTTCTAACCGCAGTCCTTATTTCTGGTATATACACATATAAACAATATATGTCATAAGGTTGGTATGGCGTGTCGTACAAATCGTGGCCTTGCATTGTCAGACTGTATCTTTGGTATGTCAAAAACGACAAATGACACACAACTCTAAGTGATCTTCTCTTCTCACAGCCAGACTCTCTTTCAAAGTTCAGGCAGTCATTCGGATTATATGTCACGAAATGGCTACTTTTGCAATGTGAATCGGAAGTACATAAATACTCAGTTACTAAACATACAATTGTGTGACGTACCCACCATTGGTTTAATAGTTTGTTAATTACTTATCCTATTCCAACAATTTTTGTTTTGTTTTTTTGTTTTAGCCCGTTTTTTTTTTAAATTATTACTTACACGTATATTTTTAAACTTTCAATGTTATAAAATTTCAAAACAGTTTCATTTGCAGGATATTATCGTTAAGATCTAGATGTATCGCAAAAAGTGTCAAAGGAGCTGTAGATATGCTTGAACAAAAAATATCTTGTGCTTTACATACGCATGTACTTGTGTTCAGTAAAGAAAAGCTGTGTCATCTTCATTAATGATGATACATGTATGTTGATGTGGCTTAGAACGTCTTACTCGGATGATTATAATGAGGTCAAAAAATTATTAAAAATTTGTAATACATGTACAGTATCAATGTGAGCTTTAAAACATGTTGTTACACGATGATGACCTACAATGAAAATCTTAAGGTCAAAAAATAATTTTAAAAAATGTCATTAAGATGAGCTGAAATAAAAACATGTTATTAAATGTGTCTAATCCTGTTTTCATTCTTATGAAATGACAGTAAGTAAATGAAGAGACAAATTGCAAAAATAAGTGTGTGTGTATATATATATATATATATATATATATATATATATATATATATATATATATATATATATATATATATATATATATATATATATATAATTTTCATTTGGAAGCTGTTTGTCCCTAACCCCCCCCCCCCCCTCCGTTTATACGTTTTATTGTACATTCGAATACCGACAAATTCCAACATTTGAAGAAAAAAAAATGTACCAAAAATTAGATAAAGACCCGCCCCAACGAAATAAGATTTTCGAGTTTGGGAAGTTTAGGTTTGTTTGGGTTTTCTTGTTTTTCGGATTTTTAAGATCCCACCCTCACTTTGGAAAACGTTGTATGGGCATGAATTGTTATTTTTTGGTTTAAACTGACGCTTCAGAAATACAAACGTATGGATATAAATATGGTAGAAATACTTTTTGTACGCGAGAGGCATTGGAAAAAAAATCTGGAAAAATTGTTTGATAATTTTACGAGGCAGGTTATTGACAAATAAGTCGATGATACAAGGATAATAACAATCTTATTTTAAGACAATATTTCACAAATTCTTTGGTCGATACAATGACCTTGTTTGGAAATACAATTGATAATCTTCATTGCAACAAAAATGCATTATTACAACTATTAAAAAGAAATTGAACTCGTCACTTATATCATTTTTCAAACATCAATAACAAATTCTATTTTCCGTTGAATACATTATACAAACTATCAATTTCAACAGGTTATTTGATATTGCAAGTTCTAAGCTGGCTACGAAAATATCCAAATACTTGGAAGGCATTGATAGGCTATTAAGGTTCACTGACCCTCCTGATAAGAGAGATAACTCTAAATGGGATAAATGACTATTTTTTATTTATAAAATCGTCAAGTTGAAGTGCCATTTCTGTCAAAAAAGAGGGCTTACAAGGCGCGGAGAATCCCCCACTCTGAAACAATTTTTTTTCTCAATTTTCAAAGATCACGGAAAAGAAAAATTATATTTTTCTAAAATTATATTTTCAGTAATGACATCTTCATCAATTTTATTATTCAATAAAATAAAGAAAGTTGTTGTGTAAAAGATTTGATGATGACAATCTAATTTTTGAAAATTATAACTTTTCATGAACTTTTAGAATTGAGAAATGTCTTTTTTCAGAGCGAGGGATTGTCCTCGCCTTGTACGCCTCCATCCTTTTGCCTCACAATGTGTGCAGAAAATTCTTGCATTTTAATTATAAATTAGATTTCTTTTCCAAAATCGTTAAGAATTACAGCAAATTTTTATATGAGTGACCAGAGGGATGAAAAGAACTTTTTATTAAAATAGAAATGTCATTATGTGGAGGTCTAGGTGAAAAGAGAATGATCACGATCAAAGGGGAGTAAATCTTCCATTGCCAAAAGTGCCTGAAAATGTTTCTTCATAAAATGTTTAATTATCTTAATTTACAACAGAAATTCATAAAATGAAATAGCTTGTAACACAGTAAATATGTGTTTTATCCTTGACTTTTATTCTTATATGGATTTCATTTATTACAGTGCCTTAACTTCAAACACTCGAGAAAAACCGGTGGTGTTTATATATTGTGCTTTTAAAAAGTACTTTGTAAATAAATTTGCAAAGAAAATCATAAATGTGCACTTTATAACTCAAGGCGGTTAAGTTGTTAATTATCGAGATGGTATAAAGTGTCAAAGCACGATCCTTCTTCATGCAGGGAGAGAGAGAGGGTATAAAGTGCCACAGGGAAGGTCCTTCTTCAAAGAGAGAGAGGGGGTATAAAGTGCCACAGGCACGATCCTTCTTCAAAGAGAGAGAGGGTATATAAAGTGCCAAATGCACGAATGCCACAGGTACGATCCTTCTTCAAAGAGAGAGAGGGTATATAAAGTGCCAAATGCACGAATGCCACAGGCACGATCCTTCTTCAAAGAGAAAGAGATGGTATAAAGTGCCAAACGCACGAATGCCACAGGCACGATCATTCTTCCAGGGAGAGAGAGAAAGGGTATAAAGTGCCACAGGCACGATCCTTCTTCCAAAACAGAGAAGGTATAAAGTATCAAAGGCACGATCTTTCTTCAAAGAGAGAAAAGGTATAAAGTACCAAAGGCACGAATGCCACAGGCACGATTCTTCTTTGGGGGAGAGAGGGTACTTGTATAAAGTGCTATGGGCACGATCCTTCCTCCAGGAAGAGAGAGGGTATATAAAGTGCCAAATGCACGATCCTCTTCCAGGGGGAGAGAGGGTAAAACGGCCAAAGGCGCGATTCCTTATCAAGGAGGAGGGTATAAAGTGCAGAAGGCCCTATTCGAGTGTCACAGGTAAGATCCCGTTTTCGAGGAGCATAACCATGGCCATAGGAACAGTGGGACTTCCTACGGACCTGACAACCACTTATCCCATATCCCTCGCAGTTCTAAGTAAAACTGGGAATTCTGAGCACCTTGGGCAAAAACCAATAATTTTAATTAAAAAAAAAACAACAAATAAATTGCATTTTGATAATATTTTATCTGACTCCATTTCGCTTCAGATTTGTATATAATTCAGTAACATGTCTCAACGTTAAAACAAGAACAACAACAAAAAAAACCTCTTGTCAGATATATATGCTTTTCACCGTTTTTATACATAGTGTGCTTTATTTCTCGGTAACATATACATCTCATAGGTAGAATAAATAAACGTACATATAACATGTGAGATATTCATATACCGAATTTAGTATGTCACATGCCAGGCGTTTGCACGATAAAGGTCCCTCACTGCTCAATGGCTCCGATTGCCGAGTAAATTTCTAAATTTGAAGCTCTTCACCAGAATATGGTGATGTCTCTATATGAGTGAAAAATTATCGAACGGGACGTAAAACAACATACAATCAATCAAGCCCAAAAAACCATTGGAATAAATTGAATACAAATTGGGAGCAGAGCAAACATGGACCTCTTAAACCATCAGAGGTGGGATCATGTGCCATAGAGGAGTAGGCATCCCCTGTCGATCGGTCAGACCCGCCTTGTGCTCTTTGCCATGATCGGGCAAACGGAAACTGAAATTAGAAATGGCCTAATAATTTGTATGAGTCAACATAGATTGTATTTGCTATAAAGGTCATTGTATCGACCATAGAATTTGCAAAATATTGACTTTAAACGGGGCTCTTGATATCCTTGTATCGTCAACTTGTTTGAAAATAGCTTTCCTCGTTTTAGAAATTATTGTACGTACGTAGAGCATGCTCTTGCGTAACGAATCAACTGTGAGACATGAACACTATATGCAGGTGATAAGGGAATATTTCTACATAAATAAGGGAAGTGACGATAGAAAAGTTGAATTCATCACGTTCATCATAAAGTTTTGTTGTTAGGTTGATGTTCATAACTTTTTCTAGAAAATATTCAAATCAGAAACAAATGTGTCAGACTCGGTGGTGTCTTTTATTTCGAATTCAAAGGGATATATCGAAACAACGTAAGAATGAAAATAAATATTATCAATCCAAAGAACGTCGTCGATATATCTTAGATGTCGAATTAAGGCCAAAGCAAAAGACTTCTTTTCATATAGAAGTTTTTGAATAAATTCTGCTTTGTACGAATACAAAAATATACCTGCTAATAACTGCTTATTAATATCCATAGGAATTCCAACAGATTGTTGGAAGACTTGGTCTCCAAAAACTACTTAGATATTGTCAATCAGAAATTCGAGCATATTTTTAACATCAACTTCGGAGTACTTTTAAAATTGTGTGTACAATCAGATTGTTTTTTAACAAAATAAAAAAAAGAGTTCTGAATTAAATATGTTAACTAAGACGAATACACGTTTTATTATACTTTGTTTTTATTTCTTTAAAACTCCAACTCAACATTATAGATTTTCATAATTGTCAAAGGAAATACATGTATGCATATTTATGCCTTTGTTTAGTACATGTAGTAATGTACATGTATTTATTTTTACAATGTGCATTTTATCACTTCACAAAAGCATGTTAGATTAGAATTTGTTTTACCTGTACATACTATAAGCTCTTATCATTACCACAAGCATGATAGATGTGACCATTTAAGGCTGCCTTATAAATATTGCCACGTTACCACTTCTCATGAAGAACCGTTTGTTGCCAACAGCTAGCACTTGTGGGATGAAAAGTCACAGAACATGACTTTGTGATGAAGGTACCATATTTTTTGATAAACCTTACGAAGTTCTATGTTATTGCATACGTAGGTGTATTTATTTTTACCTGACGCGGAAGCTTTTACGGAAAAATAGTATGGTTAGCCATATAGGTTAAAAAGCTATCTTTAAAAATTACTGTAATGAAAACACAATTTTGATTATGGTGATGTACCGAGGAAGAGGAGAAGGTTGAATTACTATAAGTATTAAGATAAGTATTTTTTTAAATTGAAAAATTAAATATGCACAGTGCAATATCTAATTATTAATTTAGTAAGAATTATATATATTTTACTTTCAGAATGAGTGAGAATGATATCATCTAACAAAATGTATAAAGATGGAGGACAGGACTCACATGAACCAGGTTCTTGCTTACTGTGCTCTTGCTGCGGGCTTCAACATGATCAGCCAAGCCTTCAATTTCTACTACGTTAATGTCTTTCTCAATATCTATCATGTCAAAGAAACATGGTTCCAATTAGCTCAGGTTCTATTTCTCATATGGAATGCAGTGAATGACCCCTTATTTGCATATTGCGCAGATAACAAAAATATACGTTTGATGTCTGCACGACGGAATATGGTTTTGTATGGTGCACCATTCTTTGCACTGTCCTTTGTGGTTCCATGGTTTCAGTGGAGCTCAAACCCGACTATAATTGGACTTCATTTACTTCTGTCTCTATGCTTTTGGGACACTTTATTTACACTAGTTGGTCTTGCCTACTGTTGTTTATTTACTGAAATCTCGCAAGACACATCAAAGAGAATAGTGCTCACACGTTATTCTACATTAGCTTCTCTTATTGGATCAGGTAGTGTCTTGGTATTGGACCATGCCTCCAGCAGTTTAAAAAACTTTAGAGCTTTTCAGTTTGTGTCTGTGCTTATAGCCTTACTGAGCTGGGCTCTGATGCACTACTGTGGTAGACACTGTCACACACAGTTTGACTTGAAGCAAATGAAAAAGAAAAATAAAGACATTGATGAGGTTCAGCACCAACGAAGTCGAGAGCCGTACATTCGACAAACATTGCAGATTCTGACTGATGTTAACTTTATATCATTTGTAATAACAAACTTTTTCCAAGAGTTTCACAAAACCTATTTAATAAGCTTTTTAGCTATTATATGTGATCAGCTAATACCAGCCAGTTATATATCCCAGGGGACCAGGAGTACCTTTTATGGATTCGTTCCCTTTTCATCACAGGTACCTTATCACAGAATTAGAATGACCGGTAAAATCTTTGGGAATAAGGTTTTAACATGAAAATTAATGTTGATCATCACCATCAACATCATCATCATTGGAAAAACATTAAAAACGTACCTCATCGATCATAAGTAAAATTCACTTTATTGTCCAACAATAAAACAATTTTACATTGAATAAAAATGTTAAGGTAGTTTCATGCTAAATAATAATTAAATCATCTATTGCAGATCGTCATCATCCTCTTTGCTCCACTTATTGCCCACTTTTCTTACCAGAGAATTTATCGAGCAAACTTTATTTGGAAGATTTGCAGTGGGATGTGTTTGTACTTCATTGTTGGAGAACACTATCCAGGGTTGATACTATTGTTTTTGTTGTTTGACGAGTAAGTACACACATTTCCAGTATTTAATCGACTGCGTCATTTCCGGTGTCTATGATATTCCCAAAATTGAGAGACCGATTAAAATTTCGATTGTTAATATCGGTTTTCTTCAACATGCATTAGTATTGAGTATTGAAAGCATCCATCCATTTCTTTTTGTTTTAGTATTCTTAAATTCAAACATAGTAGTACATAAGTCAAGTTGGTTAATTAAGTTACATATTACTACCTTAAAGTTGATTACAGGGGATAGATGTGTTGAGTGAATGTTTTCATTGCTTATATAATTAATACTTCAAATTAGGATAATATAAAAAGCAATTTGTTTTGATCTGTCACAAATGGAATACTAATAATCGACTTAAACATGTATACATATATAGGGTTATTTCATTATTTTACTATAAAATCACTTATGTTTCAGAACAAGGCTATGGACAATTTAGAATATTGATTTAGTATACATGCTACCTCAAAGGTATTGATAATTAGATTATACGTATTACAGGTTAATGCTTTGTTTTCCTAAATGGTTTACTTTTTTGTACAGCTGTTTTACCAGCGCCACCAACTCCTTGCTCAAACTGCCTCTTGCTGATATAACTGATGCAAATATGGAAAAATATAATCGAAAGTAAGCAATTAGTTACTTGTGAAAGAGTGTGCCAGGAGTTTAGCTCATATGAGAAAGCTAAAGAGAGCTTTTTTTCATTTAAAGTTTGTCCATTGTCTGTCTTTTAACTTTCCACATCATTCACCAATAAATTTGTGAGCAACTCTGTTGGGGTGTACATTAAAAATTGTTCAAGTCATTATCCCAGTGAACAGGAATGGGTTACAATACAGGCTAAAAGATTTATTTAGAAATACAGGAAAATCATGAGAAATCAACATGTATGACCTACACAGTATTTCTTTGAATTCTGAAATATTGGGATAAGTTGGGATCACAGTATGGGTTCTGGGAGTTTTTACTCAGAAATACACATATGCTGGGAAAAATGGAAATATTCAATTTAAGGAAAGCAAGGTTACAATGCTGTTAAAATGACATGCTTGCACATTCGTTTTGTTTAAAGATTTTTAAATCGTAACCCTTTGCCCATGATAAAATCTTGAAAATTAGGATTATATATGGATCAATTCTATCGTCTCTTTTTTCATAGCTTATCTTTGTAAAATTGATATGTGACCAGAAAAGAAATAAATTATTTTAATGTGAGTACAGATGTATAAAAACTCTCAAAACTTAGGAATCCAATAGAGCAACATATTTCACTATCGCACAACGCGCATCTATTTTCGGGTCTTTGTACAATGACGGGATAATACGACGGTGCGATAGCATGATGACGATAACGATGTGATTATTGTGATGGCACGATGGAGCAATGGTGAGCATCACTTCTTCGTAAACGTCCCATCGCTCCATCATCATCGTATTATCGCGTCGTCACTGTAAAACTCAATTGTGCCAATGCATCATCGTCAACATCACATTACCATATAATCGTATCGTCATTGCGCTTTCGCTTCATTGCAACATCGTCATGGCATCATTCTTACCGCATCATTATGCAATAGCACTACAAACTCAATAGTGATCATGAACACAATCTCTAGGTAAAAGAAAAAAACATCTTCATAAAAACAAAATTGTGAGTGATTATCAGTCAGTAAATTAGGACTATCATGTGATTCTAATCATTATATACAACTCTATAATGCACAGTATTGACCAACTATCTTAAAGCCTCAAAGAGAAGCCCATAAAACTCAGAAAAACAGAAAATTTGTGAATCTCCAGTCAATAAAGACCCTAACTTCATTAAAAGGGATTGAAAGCATACAAAGCTAAAACTTAATCTACAACTTATTTACATATGTAAATAAGTGTGAACCAAATTTCAAGTCAATATATTGACGTTTCATCTTAAGAGATTCAGGAAATTAGAAGTTCCGTATATTTTGATGATGCTTATTTGGGGATTTGGGGGAGCTTACTCCTCAATGGTACCTGATCCCAAATCTATTGTTTTGAGAAGTCTGCTCTGCTCCAATATGTATGTATATTGTTTCAATGGACTTTTAAGCTTGCTTACTGTTCTTTATCTTCATATTTCACTGAAATCATAAGAAACTGTCTTAACTCTGATATATAATTAACATGAAATTTATGTCTTTTTTATTTTATAGCCATCCAATATCCTCAATGGTATTTGGAACAAACGCTCTGATAACAAAGCCGGCTAATTCCTTATCTCCTATGCTTGTGGTCGCCATCTTAAATAGATATGGATATGATGAAGTAAGACAAATAAAACTTGGAAGAACTGGAGAAAATAATTTAACTGGGAGCATAGAATTGAAGAACGCCATGTTTTCTTTGATTTGTTTTTATCCAGTTGTACTAGGTGTGATTCAGTTATGTAGCTGGTCTTTTTACAGTATCAGCAATAAGAGAGAAATAATCATCAAAGCTGACAAAATACACCAAGGAGTGTAGTGTATAGGTTAGTGTATTGTTAATGATACAGTGCATTAAAAATGCGATCGTCTAGCAGCTATTTACTTCTTCATCTTCTTTGTTCACGCAGAAAAGATTTCCACTAAACTAGTACTAGCAATGTGAGAGGGGAAAACTGAAAGGCTGAGTTAAGAATGCCAAAGATGTCCATACTTGGATTCTTCAGCTGCAGAATACAAGCTAGTATTTACGATTTTGATCTAAGACTCTTTAAGCCACAACGTATGTCGGAAGATAATAATTCCGATCCAAACTATCTATCCTTCCGTTTTCATCGGAGGTCATAAAAGACTTAGAAATACTAAATGAACAATATGTTATGGTTCCAGCAAATAAGACTTGTAACAGTATCGTCTGTGTTTGAAAGACTCATTATTATAACTGTATTTTACGAGAACTGGTTTTAATTCTACGTCTGGAAATCCAACTTATACTCATAGTTCACTTTCTAAGGGTGAAATTCTTCAAAATAACATTTCAGTCTTTAATACTTATAACATTCCAGTCGACGAAGGTGAATACAATCTACCCTACCTAAAATGAATTCCTAAACTTCATTAAAATCCTTACAAAAAGAAATACATTGCCGGTCCAGCAAATGCTCTACCTAGCCCCTATCCTTACTCCTCACAGAAATATTAACTTCTATAAAAGAGAAACTTCTTTACTGTGCTACAGCATATTCTAGAAGTTGTGTAAATCAAATGTGGATTCTCAAAACTTCCAAAGAACTTTGAGAAAAATGTGTGTAAATAAGCATCCGATCAACAAAGGATGCTTACTCCTCCTTGGCACCTGATCCCACCTCTGGAATTTCTGGGGGTTTGTGTTTTATGCCCTGTTTACAGGTTTGTGTTGTTTGTAGGAGTTTTTGAAATCGATCACTTACGTTAAGTTCACCTTTTTCATTTTCAATTTGGCCCAAACTTCACATGTAGAGTATTCTGGGTGTGCAGTGTGTGAAAGAAATAAAAGGTCATGGTCAAAACAGATTGGGTGGAAACTCCATGGAGGAAAGATTTTAGCTACGTTAAACTGGTATTCATTAACCCAACAAGATTAAAATTAAGTTTGGAAGAAAAAAATCTTTTTACTTCCTTCTTTAAATGGAGATAATACAATATATGCAAATTAAAGTGAATTGTGTCCTTTTACAAGGTGTTTATAAAGCTCTCTGCAATTATAGTCCTTTATAAAATATCTTTTACTCTCAAATCATTTTCATTTACTAAAGAGGGGCTCTTTGAAATATTCGTATCAATGATTTCTAAACTCTATTACATGTATAACAAAAGCATGTAAACGAAAAACAAGTTGTGTAGTGAGAACAAGGAAAACAGGGCATTGTTAATTTTTGATTAGCAGAATTGTAAATACCTTTGACCTAAAATTATTGAAGGTTGTTTCTTGCTCGATATTGTCAACATTTTTCAGAAGAAAATAACCTTTTAAAGAAATTAGTGTTATTTTAATCTTATTTTATGAAAATTGACGTAATGGGCATTTTATTACTGAGATATTAGCAAGTCTGGACCACTGATATTGACGAGGCTAGGGAGGGTTAAATAAAGTTTATAGCCTTGAACTAGTTTTCGCATTTTAGTTTTATATCGGGGACAGGATCAAAATCTACTCTCAATCTCAAAACTATTTTGAATGAGTTCCCAGAGTATTGATGCCAGATCAGAATATATTGTTTTGGAGAGAGTTTTTTTTACCCATTAGCGATATCTAGAATATTTTCTCAAAAGGATTGATAATCAGGATGAAACTTGGGTTTGCTATGTCGAGCAGATTTAAAGCGTCAAAGTAATTATTGTGGTTCACCCCCACCAGAAAAGTTCAAGCAACTGGATCAGTAGGCAAGATTATGACCTCAGTATTCTAAGATTGCAAGGCTGTATAATGACTGTTTACAGCGATGGCACATCTTCAGTGGGCAGTACTATGTTTTGGAATTGGGACAATTGAAGGAGGCTTTCAAGGAAAACAGAGGAAAATTATGAGTTGCTGATTTTCAGAACAATGCACCTGTCCACACTTCGCAAACAGCGGTAGCTGCAACTGCCGACGTGGATTAAAAGCTTACTGTTTTTAAGAATTACAATGATTTTTATCAGCAACAAAAGTTTTAGATTCAAATGGGAAAAAGGGTTTGAAGTATGAAGCGAGGCTTACTTTTTTCCAAAATTAATTTTATGTCTAACAATGTTATGAAGAGAATTTGACACAGTAAATAGAGAGAGCATTAATTTATCATTACAGCATAAAATTAAAAATATCAGGTGTATATATATAAAAACAATATTTAGTGTCAAACATATAAAATTCATATCAGTGTCATACATATTAAATTCATAGCAGAAAAAGTCGCCAGCGTGGGGCAGTGGTTAGAGCGTTTGCTCTCGAGTCGCAGAGTAAGGAGTTGATCTTAGCTTTTTGTCGCAGGTTCGAATGCCACTGCGGGACGTGGAGACCGGTCCTTCGGATAAACTAAGGTCCCAAGTCACAGAAGGTGTTGGCACAAAAAGGATTCGGCACTGCTCAAAGGCCATAAGTACCGAGTATATGTATAAATTTGCAGCCCTCCACCGGCAAGTGGTGGCGTCTCAATATGAGTGAAAAATTCTCGAAGGGACGTTAAACAAAAACAAAACAAAACAAAACAAAAAAAACCCAAACATATCAGAAAACATAATAAAGTGATGCGTTTTAAGTAAGATATAACATGATGTTTATATATGCTTGTAAAATATGTGTCCTTCAGAAAAAGTTATCTTTCTTTATTTTTTTCTCTTCTTTTTTAAAAGGAAAAAAATACACTACTAATAAAATATTCTACACAGTACACTATAAATTAAACTATTTTTCTAAGTACTTATAAAGAAATAAAAAATAATAATTTGTTTGAGGAAAATAAAATGGGTGCAAATGTTTAAAATCGAAAACTATTTGATATAAGTAAATAATAGCAAAGGTAATAGCAAAAGAAAATACAAGTCAATGTTGGAAACCCTTTCAACTTTGTGCTAGAGGGTGTGAGAATCTTGTAGAATTGAAATATCACAGTTAATTAGGTAAACAGCTGAATAAAAACACCTGATGAAACAAATTTTGGGAAATTTTTGGATTTATATACTTTAGAAGTTATCTCTCTTATGAAAGGGACACTGGACCTTAAAATGTACACCCAGCTACTTATCAGAAAGTAATTAATACGCATGCATAGCTTCCGTTACGTACTACGTTAGTTTTCCTACCTTTTACTAAAGAGCATCCTCACAACGTCAGGGGTCCTGAGTCAACTCGAGGCCGTTGGATCCCTGGCAAATTTCAAATTAAATCGATATTCTATGGGCTTTCTTCTCTAATTGAGAAACACCAATCAGATCGGGGCTTTCATAAGATGATATAAAACGAAAACGGAAAGTAAGTAAGCAAGAATTACAGTTTTTTTGGTCACCGAAAGGTTCAATGTGATTGGCCGACAAATAAGAAAAAAAAAGTTAAAATATGTAATTTCCCCGAAATCGCTGCAGTGAGCCCGCGAATGAAATTTGTCAGGGGTCCAACTTGGACTCAAGACTCCCGGACTTTGTGAGGATGACTGAAGAGTTCCTGTCATAAGTTACGAGAAACTTTACGTACAGTACAACCTTTACGCTCCTAGTTGCGACCATTAGTTTTAATGCTATTTACGCACACGTTAAATTGGCCGCAAAGTCTACGTTTACGCCTACGTCTACGACTAAATTTAGTAAAACTCGGTCCAGACCTTACACAGATATCGAACTTTTTTCTCTTTATGAAACTCAAATTCAAACTTCGTGCATGGAAGAGAGATTGCCAGCGGCGATGAAGCCATTGATGCCGTAAAGACTTTTGGATAACAAGGAGAAAAACTCTTCTGGTTGGACAAAAACCTGGGATACAGCTGGAACAAGTTTATTGAGTTCAAGGTTGAATAAGTTTATTGAGTTCAAGGTTGAATAAGTTTATTGAGGTCAAGGTGGACTAAGTTTAAAAAGAATTCTTTTATGGTTTCGATTTTACAAAACTTTCCCATGAGGCTATGGACTTTGTAATTTACTCTCATAAGTGTTGTCAAGGGGATAGAGTCTAGGAATGTGCTAAAAGGATTAGTAGAATGAGATTAGTTAATGTGTTAATTATCACTTTCAGAATAATCAATCTGTTATTGTTATTGTAAGTAATAAAATAGCTCCTCTTACCAGTTGCTTATTATTTTAGAATTTCGAAATATTCAGTCTGTTATTGACTTTGTTTTTGAAAGCTATAAAGCAGAATCTGTTACCAGTTCCCTATGTAATACTTATCATTTTATAATCTGAAAATTCTTCAGTCTGATATTGTTATTGGAAGCTAAAAAGGAGCACCTGTTACTAGTTGCATTAGTAATACATCACATTTAATTATTTTAGAATTTCAAAAATATTCAGTTTGACATTATTTTTGACATTACATATGTATTTTTGAAAGCTTTAAATAAGCACCTGTAACTGATTTCATTTTCTAATTATTTTTGAATTTCAAAATATTCTTGCAGTTTGTTATTTTATTGAAAGCTAAAAAACAACACCTGTAATTATTTTCATTCACTATTTTTTCAGATTGAAAAGTATGTTGTTTTTTTCGTTACAACAGTTATAATGTCAGACTTGCCGGTAGAGGGCTGTAAATTTAGATCTGTACTCGGCACTTATGGCCTTTGAGTGGGAGGGGTCTTTTACGTGCAAGCTCCTACTGCGACACGGGACCTCGGTTTATACGGTCTTATCCAAAGGACTGGTCTCCGCGTCCCGCAGTGGGATTCGAACCCGCGACGTAGGGATCAACTCTTTACTCCGCGACTCTTACCACTGTGTCACGCGGGCGAGATATTCAGAGAGTAGGTCATTGTGACCTACTATTTTGGCTGATACACTCCTTAAAATATGATGGATGAACTGGCAAGGTTTGATTTCCCTACTCTTCACAGTGTCCAAGAAGTGCATCTAAAACAATTTGAAAATGAATATCTTTAAAATTCTGGAATCACGTCCTTTCCTTATGGTGATACTTTGAACCTTTTTTTAAAAATACAATATTAGTATAGCCTCATCATTGTGTATAAATTTAGTGATAATCTGCCCAATGGTTCTTGAAATTTTCTAGGCAACAACCGATTTTTCTTTACTTCCTTAGAAAAAATCTGTCATCAGTGTTGATGTTTCATTAGCTGAAAGCATTTCGCGATTCATCCATGTGGAATATCAATATCAAGAATGATATCATTTCAGCGAGAAACGTCTGGTTGAGTTCTCCAAAGTTCCTATGAACTTTTTTTTTTTAGAAAAGGTAAGGAAATGTAAAATGAATTTAGGCGACTAGACAGTAAAACGATTAAGTGAATTGATTGGATATTTTGCCGTCTTCCTTGGAAGACGGTATACAGAGTTGAAGTATTTTACAGTCTTCGGACTATGCACTTCCTCTCTTTTGTGATTGGTAGAAATTGCATGATGAGAAAATTTTCAGTTATTTCATTGGTTGAAATGCTGTTCAAGGCAAGGGAGATAATTTTCTGATGATCTAATTTTTGTACGACTTAACAATTTTTCAAGATTTTCAGGTGGCAGGGGATAGTTTCGTACTAAAGACCCGGTCATATTTCTTAAAAAACTGAGATATCCCCTGTTTGATGTGATATTTTATGTAGAAAAATGATTAGAATAATTATGGGACACATTTGCAGTGTAGCAGAGTGCTTGCTGAAAAAAATGATGTGCAACATGTAGGTGTCGCTATGATGCTTATCATATACAGAGTTGTAAATGCGAAACTAATACACGTGGTCAGTTGCAGAGGAAATTCAGCTGAAAAGCAGTAGGCCTTAGAAGAAGGTGTGTATCTCAGAGGGAAGGTGAATGGCCCCATATCAATTGGTGAATTTTCATTAGGGCATGCATTGATTTACAGACTATTGGGTGTTTTATCCTGCTCGCTCGGGCCTGGGGGTGGGTTGTATGGGTGCGACTGAGACCCAAATCTTGGAAAAACAAGCCAAAATTTGGGGAGTCCCCAGGTGCATTTTTGGTACATGTGCACTCTAATAGGCAGATTACATGTAATTTGTTGACATAATTTGTGAGCCATGGGCATATGAAGTGTAATTGATTAGCCCCTGGAAAACTGTCCCCATGTATATGTTTTTATGGATCGCATGTATATGTGTACCCCCTCGGCACATGTTTGGCAATAAAAAAAAAACTATCCTCTGCCACCTAAATCGTAAAAAAAAAAATGACAAAGCGAACAGTGAAAATTGGCAATAATTAATTCGATTTAACATGCTAGTTTTTTTTATAGCAATTACCAAAAAAAAAACCGTTTCTATATTTTCATTGTTAACAGAATTTATCTTTATTGCATGCAAGCTTTACAGCTTGTACGTATTCTATTTCCCTTTGTTTTGCGCTCTTTCTAATCTCGGCAGCACTCGGCAACACCGGCCGATTCGTACCTCATCTGCATATCACAAAGGTGACGGAATCAGCCGAGGTTTTGCGAATGATCTCAGCACCTGAGACGAAGTTTACGGAGACAGCCGAGCATCTGTTAACGTTTCACTTGGTAGAGCTTATGTCAGAAAAAAAACTAATGAAGAAATACAAAGCCAAGAAATTTTTAAGAATTATACGGCCTGATAGGTTTAGGCCAGTTTACCGTTTAAGGTTGTTGCTAAAGACGGTAAGCTTTTTGAAAAAGCTCTACTTGTATAATCAACTGTTGCTCTGAAGGGCTCCTACATGTACAGTGTATATTTGTTTCGATTCCAAAATCGAGTACAATATAATTTGTGTTACAGTAGTGAAGAACTGAAATGGTTCCAGTGGAGGGCTGTGAAGTTACAGACAAGCAATGCGTCTGACTAGAGTCTCTTGCACTTTAAGAACACACACACAAAACTCATCATTGGATTTCGGACACATGCGCTTGTTTCTGTAATAAGTTCTTTAACCTACAGTATAATCATTATACTATTGGAAATTTTTTTTTACAGAAACAGGTGTCTGTGATTTGGGGCAATTATAAACACTCGTTAAAACAGCACACTTGTTAGATAAGTAAATGTATATACATGTATATATATTTATTCAGTCATTCATCAATGAAATCATGAAATATTAATAGTGTTTTATTTTAGGCCCGGCTCCGATAGTGTCCATGGAGGTACAATTACATGTAACTCAATCACGTCAGCCGATAAGTTTATACTGTTATTTGTTGTGATTATATAACAGAGAAATCCCATATAAAGAAATACCGGGTATATAATGTGGCCTCAGTTGGTCGTTCAATGATTCAAAGTGGATTGTATAAGTTGTGCAAAAATAACCTCTTATTCTTACAGTTCTCAGCAAAGCCCTTCAGGGCATACGCAACGTAGTTTGAACTTTATTGGTTTTTCCTCTGCAGTTGAAGAGTTCCAAATTCTTGAAGGAACGCTGTGCTACATTTTTAAATGTCTATATATGCTGTTGTACACTTCTTCTAACACAACTTTGGATAAACAAAACACCTAAAATATATGTTAAGTAATTTTTTTGTATATTTTTCTTTGAATTATACAAGAATTTTCATCATTTGATATCTTTTCAAAACCTCCTGGTAATGCATGCTGATATTTTTGTCTACGAACATCTGATGGCACTATAATCTTAAATTAAGAATATCTTGAAAATTATCAGTAGGTAAGATACGTTGCGTATGTCCTTAAATTATGAATTAACAGAGTTCAATTGAATCACATCACCTTTCATAAAACATTGCAATAAAAATTTACAGGAGAACCCTTGGGAGAATATAAATCACCCAACAGCGATGTTCGGGATGCCATTAGGTGGGTGCATGAACGAGTAAGTTTTGTTCGTACCGGTAAAGGTAGCGCCATTGTCCAGAGATACACTGAATTGAACATGCAGTGGATCAAGATGAGAGCCGTGTGAAGCTCTCACCGGGGAGGGGCAATTGATGATGTGATCGTAGACTAGGGTTCCTTTTGTTGTCGCACTTCCAAATCGACAGTAGATGGTTTTGCATATTGCTCTATGAAAATGTCGCCCGAAAACTTTGACGATACTTCCACCGTGTATTGGGCCTTCATGAGGAAAAATAGAAGAAACAATTGGTGTTGTGTCGTTGAAGGTTAATTTACATGCTTCCTGTTTCGTGTTAGTTATGAAAAGATTATAGGAGTTCTGCCACTTGGTGATGGCTGCTGGTTTCTCTGAATCAAGAAGAGAACTGTACTGTAGTGAATTCGTTGCCAAATGGCGCATGTCAGCAAGAGTAAGATCCCATCCCATAACTGCCTCGTACCAGTCAACAGTGAATTCATCATATCCAAACGTAGATGGGTCATCTGCTCCTAAGACCACAGGTATTCCATACCGAATGTAAGATATAGCTGGATGGTGGCGCTGGTCGGGAACGTAACCCAGCAACTTGTTACTGGCTGGATTTGCCTCCACTGCAATCTTCTTTTGCTTTAAAAGGTCCATTAGATATGGATGTGTCAAAAAACCTATCCCATGTCCTACCCTTTTGGCACCCAACAGAATGGCGTCGTATGTATTTTCAATCGTAGCGACTGGGTCTGTTACATGAGTAGATGTTAGATATTCCGCAGGCCAGTTTGTTTCCGCTGTATGAAAAAAATATGGCAAAGATTCATTCCTTACTTGCAATTCCACAAAGTCCCTGAGGTAAAACAGAAGGGAATAACCAAGGTCCTCTTCTGCCACCATATCAAATCCTGCAACAAGATGGGGGTACTTCTTATGAAGCGTAAGGGCTTTCTCTGCGTCGGACTTGAGTGTTGCAGGATCGGATCTTCTGTACGAATTAACAATTCGTTTATATCCAATAAAAGACGGATTCTTCTGACGAAATTGATTCAATACCTCGTCTGCAATGTGAAGTTCCTCTTCTCCCAAATCATTATCCACATAATGTTTTCCATTTTTGCTTGCATAAGCAGGATTGGGGTCCAAATAATAAAGTTTATTGTAGGCGGAGACTTTAGTTTCCAGATATTGTACGTTTTCGTCCATGGCAGCCTGAAGCATTGCCTCCATGTGTAACCTTGACATGTTAACCTGGTTTACGATGGATGATCCCATAGTACTGAACAAAGGCGAAATTTGCTTCCATCTAAGACTGCTATCCGTCGGCAAATTAATGAGTGTATCGTTCATAATTCCCAAAAACGTGGAATGCTTCACCATGGAATCTTTCGTGTACTTAACATTGTCCTTTACTTTAACCCATCCACTGGGTGGATTGAGGTAGAAGTTGAACCGCCATTTGTTTGGTTCAGGTGATTCCTTTACATAGAAATTGTCCAGCAAGAAAGGGTTTGCATATATGATATCCAGGAGGGTCGCTTTGCTAACAACGTGGTCTGTAAATGTAATGTTTTAAAAATCTATAGTTCATCTTTACCCGCGTGTAATTTACAGTTTCATTTAAATAAATTCCTATCATTTACAATCACTTACGTGTTTTATGGTGATTTTTTAAAAATTTGATTTAAGACATTCTGAATTAATCATTAAAAACAAGTCCTCCCAGATCATCAAACCAGTACAAATCATTTTTATCGACTCTCAATAGGAAGACGACATTGACCATGTACTATTTGGAAATACCAAATATCGGAACAAATTCATGTTTCACTCACTGTGATGTAGGTGCATATTTCCGCCTTTAGGAAACCGTTTCAGGAGACGATAAATACCCGAGGCTTTGATGTTAGCAAGGTGGTTCTTGATTGGACGAGCTGGTGGAAAGTTGTCCTTAGTTTTAAGAAATTCGACCCACTTCAAGTACTCTAAGTAGTTCTGCACAATCTGTTCGTTCTTTATAGAAAAAAAGTACAAGAATGGTAAAAATTAATATATGTATAGTAAAGTGTTTTATAAATATAGAATTATTAAAAATCTATTTATTTGAAAGCAACCCATAAAAAATAGTTTCACTTTTGTTTGAGACATCACCCAGGGGCTATAACTGAATATTCATTTTCCTGAAAAGTCAAAATTATTGTATTCGTTGAATTAAAGTTTTGCCATAAGCTAACTTTTATCAGGTCTCAAAGTATATTACATCTAAAAGACCAGAGTCATTGTATCCACCAAATTTGAAAAAAAGACGTCTCTCTAAAGCCACAAAGGACTGTAACTTCTTGCAAAACATAAACTGTGCTTTCCCAGTTGTTAAGGCGTCATGTAAACATACATGCATGAATTGACTTTATAATCAATTTATTTGTCAATGTGTTTTTTAACTATATATTTGCTTATGAATACCCAGTACGAAAAGAAATGATTTGTTTGAAACCTCTCGCAGCTAAGAATCAAATGGGCGTTTTCTCGATACATTGTCGAGGGAGATCCATTGGACAGACACATTGAGTGAGCACTATGTTGCTCAAATTGATACACTACTATTTTGATGTTTTTATGGAAGCTCAGAGAAGAAACGATTAATATTTCTAGTATCCTATCATTCTGAACGGCTTTTCTTCTTTGCACTACGGACGCTCTTGGCAGATAAAAAAATCATGCAATGTCTTAAAAGTACTAGCAAATACTAGATAAATAAATTGACTTTTTTTCAATTGACATTTTATACATTTAAAGATTTGCAAAACTCGTATGATGTGATTCATGTAAATTTGTATGTCTGTATGATATACATAAACTTTTTAAAAAAAAAAAGAAAAAAAAAGGTGAAATCAGACGCATGATAAACTGTCAATGTCATCGTATTTCAGGACATTTTAATTTTTTAAAATTGAAATTCACATTTTGTTTTTGCAAGTGTAATCAATGTATAGGACCTTCATTTGGTTGAAGTACTTCTAAAACCTTTGAGCATACCGGAGAAGTTCTATGTGTAGCAGCATGCGTACTTGATATTCACGTACATGAATACTAGTACATGTACCAGGTTTGGGCCGAATTACTTTGTACAGTAATGCATTACATTACCATTACTTCTAGAATTTGAGCATTAAATTACCATTATTCTAATTTCTTAAAGTAATGCATTACATTACCATTCCTTTAGTAAAGTAATGCATTACCATTACTTTTTTGGGTTTTCAAAACTAGAAATACAAAATTTGTGCAACTACGAGGGGTTATCAAAAAGTTCGTCGACTGATGCGATAAAATTAATACTATGTAGTCGTTAATTATAAAATTTATAGGGAACATAAAACAACATAAGTTTAAGAAGTGTTGAAAATTTCAGCTTGATATGTTGATTATTTGCCAAATTATCATTAAATAAAAAGGGCATTATATGATCACCCGGCACTGTCGTCGTTTTAAAGTTTCATGACGTCCGACAACGTCATTATTTCTCAATGCCCGCTCTTCCTGCCTCAATACACTTACCTTGATGAGATTCTCTTGAGTAAAGACCTAAACCCGTCTTGTTTATATGACTTTACAGTGTCATGGACACCTGATTTCAATGCATTAAAATTGTAAATATTAAATCTATACATAGGAAAAGATCCTCGCTTGATTTTGCCAGCATAATTTTCTTTTCGGAGTTCAACGTCAACCAATGAGCAACGTCACTTTTCGACAAGACTGACTTTGGACATCCTGACTACAAATTGACATTAACCGTGTGTCTCTTTTCTTGCTGAATCTGTTTTGGTTTTTAAGAACAAGTACTCTGGATGTATATGTAAGGAAATAATGAACTAACAATTTATATGAAGGGCATCAGTCAACAAGATCATCGCATTGACCATAAAACTTGTTGGCTTTAAACGATACCCTTGTGTCATCAAGTTATTCGTCAGCAGCTAATCTCATTTTAGAAATTGTCCGTACGAAAGCACGCTCTTGCTCATTGAATCCAGTGGCGACATAAACCTTATATGCAGGTGAAATGGTATATTGCTACATATGTATGGTAAGTTGATGATAGAAGAGTCATAACGTTTATCATAAACTTTTAAGAGTAGGTGTAAGTTACCATCACTATTTTTCTTGAGTAAAACATCCAAATATGTAATGTGTCAAACTCTGTAGTGTTTCTTTTATTATTTGTTAAGCGTAAAAAGCGCTAGTAAAATAACATTTTCTATATAATATGCAAATCTAAATACAAAAAAGTAATAGAGAGGGAGAGAGACTAAATACATAAAAGTAAGAGAGAGACAGAGATAGAGATTATACAAACAAGTTGATGACACAAGGATATCAACCATCTCGTTTAAGATCAACATTTTGCAAAGTCCATGGCTGATACAATGGCCTTGTTTGCAAATACAATATATCGACTAATCGTTAAGTCGAATATTGACTGACGTCTTTCATACGAATTGTTAGGCCATTTTTTTCCATTAACCTGATCATGAAAAAGAGTACACGGCAGGTTTGACCGGTTGACAAGGTATATGCTCTCTTCTCCATGGCACCTGATCCCACCTCTGTTTGTATTGTTTAAATTGGATTTTGAGCATGATTTCTCTTATTTATTTTCACATTTCATTGACAATACTTTAATTGATCTGTGGATATTTGAAAAGTTTCGCCTTGTCTAAATCAACAGAGCACTGTTTTCAAGACTCAATGTGTTTTATAAACAGGAACATAAACTGATTTGAACGAAAGTACGCATTGTGTTCTTTCAGAAATTGTCAGCGCACTGAGAATTTTTCAATTACATAGTGTTTGCTGCAATGAATTAAGAATCTGCTGGTGCAGTGCGTTTTGAGTCTGCTAAAATAGCATTTTTTGAACCCTGAAACAAGCAAAATGACATTCTACCTTCGCTTTACCCTAATCACTCAGAGGTCAGCAATTCTTTACCCTAGTCGTAAATTTGCGTTTCCCCTTCTGGTTTAATTTTCTATCTGTAATTTGGCTTTAATCAGCGCATATCATGCAATTTTTTTTGCAACTGTTACGTACGTCTGTTTAAAATAAAACCACTCACTTTATAATATAAGCCTGTATAATGCGTAAACTAAGTGCAAAATATTTGCTTGTCGCCATCTTGGACTATAGTAACGCACTTTACCCATGTCCATTCCTACACAGTGAATACGCACTCCATAAGTCCTGCGCTCTTGGTCAAAGAAGCACGCGTCCCTATATGTCGTCAAGATCTGATGCATCAGTGAATGTTTTGATCGAATACCCTACTCAAAATGTCGATCAGATTGAAGGGTTGAGTAGGCTACGATAATGTGATATTAAAAATCTAAATGTATTTCTTTTTTTAATTTTGCAACATCATTAAAGGGATAAAGGAAATAAGAATAACTAACCTCTGTGTAATCGGACTGGTACCCCGCAAACACTCGTTCCTGTTGATGGAGATTCTCTCGTTTGACGGCGTATTTGTACTCAAAGTCCCCAAAACGGTCACAAGCCACGGGTCCAGATACTGTTAACAGGAGGAGAAGCCGGAGACAACCTAACAGCGCCATCATGGATGTTCTCAATTCAGTCTGTTCTAGCAGGGATCATGTAAGAATAGATACCAGGGTTGTATACGGTGGTAACGTTTTCTTAGATAACGACTGTTTTATGCTTAGAGATACAGAACCGTCCTACACCTTGCTGAATTCAAAGTCCCACATCTAGCTATCTGTCATGAAAGTTCAAATAAAGACTTCTTATGCGTTTTATTTCATTATCTTTAAAAGTTATTAAAACCAGTTTAAAAATTATGATCATTTTTTTTTAATTCTTTTTGCCATCCACTTTATAAATCTATACATTTTTATCACTTTACAGGAGAGAAACTTACTAAGAAACTTTGAAAGAAAAACTCAATGCGGCTAAACTTTATTCACTTCACTAATTACTGTAAACATAGATTTAGTTTTCATTCATGATTTACCAAAAAATTCTGTTCGTAGCATGTGGCCTTCGATCAACGAGTACAGATGTTGTAGGATCGTGTTCCCAAAATGGCTCTTCTGGTCCAAAACTGTATCCACTTCATAACAAGTATCATGTTGTAAATTCTGAATTTACTAGGGGGAGGTAAATGCAAAATTTACAACAGTTATCATGTTGTAAATTTTGCATTTAGCTCCGCCTAGTAAATTCAAAATTTACAATATGATAACAAGCTTCATTTAATTTCACAAAACATTCGTATATGCTACATCATTTATTTTTTATTTTTTTTTTTATAAAATAAGATCTTCGATTCGCTCCGAAATTCTGATAGTTGGTACACTTAGTTTAGTAAGTATCAGAATTTTTGGCGCTAATTAAAGATCTGATTTTAATCAGAATAATGTGATATATGCCAACACACCACATTCTTTGAAAAGGAAACATTCATAGTCATACAAATAATTTATCAAGTCTGCTCACTTGTGCCCTCGGTCTTAACAAATGATTTTGTACGCTCTGCACACTTAACTATTTGCATAATTATGCATTTTTAAATTACGAGTTATTTTCATGACATCTAACGAAGTTGTAACCATTTCAGTACTATCAGAATTCATCACACGTGCGATCTTTTTTGATGGCGTGTGGACACTTACATGCAATATATAAACACATTCTAAATGCATTGTTTTATTGAAAAATGAAAAAAAAATGTACCCATTTAAAAAAAATATTCAGCACGTTTTATGCTTTTTAGAACCTAGTCCGCTTTTTTCTTCCAAGCGGCAATTGATAACTATAGCCAATGATAAAACGCGAAAGATTCTAAGCAAGATCATATAATTATTAAAGAACGGGACTTGGTTGCTTTTGCTGCCCCTTTTTTACCACTAGAATTTACTTATTATCATATGATTAAACTATTATATATAGAACACATGTCCATAAATGTAGGACAGAAAAATATTTTAAAATCTATAACATTTATTCATATTTTATTACTCTCGTCATCAATAATCATGATTTAAAACATATTTCTAAATATATTTTTCCCCAGTAATTTCCTATGGACAGGTAATAATTATGTTTTAACTCATCAAAAGATTTGCGTTCTATTTTATCGTCTAACACTTATAGACAAGACATTTTTTTTAGTTCAATTGACATTTTACTCTGTTATTGGATGCATTAATATGTTTGATATCTTTTTCCATAACGATTCCGTTATCTCTGAGTGCTGCGACTCTGGAATGAGCAAAAGCATGTTCAAATACGAGTGTACAATGTCTCGTTTACTCATGTACATGATGCCTTGGACTGCCATATCAATGAGAGACGCTGTATTTAACCCCTCCTTTCCAAACTCTTTATATTTTCTGTCTGCCTCTTGGTGTACTCTTTCCAGCTCCTCTCTAAGTTTTTGGTCCCTTTTTTGTTCAGTATCAAACTGTGTAAGCAGCAGGATTTTGGTTGGATTTCTGCTAGTGGCTAGAACGATGGCGAGTTTCAATATGTTTGGAATCAAATATGGCATAATCCCATCCTGTGTTTCATCCTCTCCAGGACTTAAAGGTACAACGAATTCTGAGACATCTTTCTTAGCTTCCTTGCAGTAGCAAAAACTAACGAAGTGGTTATTCAACCGCAGCTCACCAATCTTCAAATAACCTGATTTGTTGAATTCTTCTTGCATAATTTCTAGGACATTTTTGACTATTTGTCCGTCACGGCGTTTGAGACTAGAAGTATAGTAAAATCTGTGCCCCGAACGTGTCTCTTTTATATACAGTGGACCTCCCAGTTTGTACGGATCAAACTTCCTTAATTCTGGATAATCTCGATGCGAAACCAAAATCCTACTGGCTGAACTTGTAAGATATTCTATTACTTCAATAAAGTATAAATTCAAACCTTTGCGTATTAATCCTTCGTATCCATACAGAGAGTTCATACTGAAAACAACATTGCCATACCTCTTCATAACATAAGTAGGGTCTTGCAGTCGTTGAAATGTACATGGCCCGTACCAGAGTATGTTGACATCTCGGACAGGGTGTTGCGGCCTCGGAATAATTTCCCTTCCGGCACAGTCCATCAACCTGTACGTATTGTTGACAACAGAGTTGTCGACAACTGGTCTAGGTTTAAAACCATCTCTCAAAATCGCATTGGCATTTTCTAAAGTTGTTGCGTGTACTAAAGTATCAAATTCCTCATAAATCTCGGACAGGTTTTCGTCTTCCAAGTTTTCTGGCAATAAATCCTCTTGATCCTCAGGTAGCCAGTGATTATAGTGTATAACGGAATTATTTTGGCGGTATCTTCCGCTGTCTGATTTGTACATGAACGAATTCCAGTTCCAGTTCCCGTCCCCTGAATAAGTGATTAAAGCATTTTTACTAGAAATAAGTTTCAGGTTTTAACATTTAGGTACATGTATATACTGAATTATTGATGTTCATCAGGATTATTTACCTGAAGCCATTTTTCTGCTCGTTTTGGAAAAAATGTCTACTTCTATAATTATTTTATGCAATCCGAACCCGATAATTATCTTTTTTTTTACCATGAAAATTCTCTCTCACACACACATCTATCTATCATCATATTCATCTATCTATCTATTGTGAACATAATTATATGAAACATGGTTGATTCACTTATTAGATAGCAAGAAAAATAAACCTTAGCCACATTGCTCACTCGACTGAAATTTTTACCTCGTTCAATAGTAACTTTTTCTAAAAAAAAAAAAAAATAAATAAAATTAAATGTTATAAACAAAAGTTATGTCAGATTACTTCTAAATCCGTAATTTGATATCATGAAAAGGCTAGACATACCAAAAAGCATGTTTTAATTACTCTGTAAGTGCCTTTTTCTGAGGAATCATTGAGGATACTATTTTACTTTAACTCAAATTTATTGAGAGAAAGTATATCAATGTCATACCAGTTATGTAAATGCATATATTTGGGTAGGAAAGATAAGAGTTGGGCTGAAGTACCTTAAATTCTACACACACACACACACCCTCACACACACACACACACACACACACACAAAATCAAAATAGAAAAAGTATATGATTATACATTTATATTGCACACTGTATAGTTGCCGTACTTTTCTTTTATTAAAATAAATATGAATTCATGGAAATGAAAATCGTACTGAGATAAAGAATAGGAATTTATTTTCATTAAATTATTTGATTCAAAGACCAATGCAACAAATATCTAAAATTATTGATTATGAATATCTGAATGCTGACAAAAAAGGACATACAAACTTCATGTGCTGATACCCTGGATTTTCAGCAAGTGATAATGTCGATGATGTGTATCACAATAAATGTGAAGTGAAGAAAAAATCATTTTGCCATGAGTATAACTGTAGTGCTTTAAAAATAAAATTCATTTCTTCTTAAACTTTTTACAATTTATTAATTATGTAAGGCACTGTAGTTCATATCCGAAAACTTAATACGTTTTTTTTATATCGATCTTACGCAAACCCATGTTGGGGAGCAGTTCATGTAACAACTTTTTATAAAATCATAAGATAATTACGAAAACCCATTGAGCTCATTTTCATAGGTTAAAACAATATTTTTCGTGTCATAACGCGAA